ATTACTAATGTCAGGATTTAAGCATTAAAAATAAAAAATATATTTTTTTATTATAATAAAATAAATAGTTATTGTTTAATTACTCCTTTATATATTTATATTTATTAGGTCATTTTATTATTTTTTAATTTGTCTATAAATCTTTTTATTGTTTTAATTTTATTACTTTATATTTCAGTTTTCGTTTCAGTTATCTTAATACATGAAGTTAAACTAAATGAAAAAAAAAAAAAAACATTCATTTACGCAGCAACAGTATTTTGGGGGTCTGCAAACGGAAAAAACTTGAGAATGGGTTTCAAAATGCAAGTTTTAGAAAATAATACCGTTATCATCTCGACTCTGAAAATACAAATTTGTGAAACCGGTGACGTAATGCGCATATGCATGTGTTCAATCTATAGGTGCAGGCGCTTAGTGTTTCTTTACAACGCGACATCGCCAACTACTGGCCTGGCATGCATAATACAGCGTTTTTAATCAGTTTCGTGGATCCGTGTCAATCTTTGACAATTGTTAGAAACGTTTCAATAACGCAAAAGAAAAACTTTTCAGTTTTTAGACAGATTAATACTTACAGTCTTTTGAGGGCGAAAAGTCCATAAAAAGCTCCCGGTTCAATATGTGCGATTATGTTGTTCTTTACGTCACTGTGAAGAAAAAAACAAAAAAACAGTTTTAGATGGTGAACATTATCAAACACTTAAAAAAAATGGCCTTTGGTTAATTTCAAACATGAGCCAAACTGAGCCAACCCAGCCCTATAATAACAGGTTATTCAAAACTCAGAAAACATGCCAGTGGGTATAACACTCAAACCTTTTGATGCTTTGACGTGCTGTAGCTAACAGCCATACGCGAATGCAGAGCCCTTAATAAATCACTCTTGTTTAGCAGTGTAACGTAACTTGTGGATTGGAAGCTCTTCAAACGCAGTAACTCAATCAGCAAAATTAATCAAATTATCAAACACTTAAAAAAAATGGCCTTTGGTTAATTTCAAACATGAGCCAAACTGAGCCAACCCAGCCCTATAATAACAGGTTATTCAAAACTCAGAAAACATGCCAGTGGGTATAACACTCAAACCTTTTGATGCTTTGACGTGCTGTAGCTAACAGCCATACGCGAATGCAGAGCCCTTAATAAATCACTCTCGTTTAGCAGTGTAACGTAACTTGTGGATTGGAAGCTCTTCAAACGCAGTAACTCAAATCAGCAAAATTAATCAATTTAGGTGATTCAATAATATCCTGATGTCCTGCCCTTTATTATACATCAAATATAGGAAATGGCATACTGTAATCTTAGAATAACCACTGTAATGTGTCACAGTGATATAGTAGGTCAGTGTAGTATAGCAGAAACTGACTGACCACCACTGACCGAACGAAAAATAAGCACTCAACAATCCCAGAATCCGGCATAAGAGAAAGGGCGGAAAAGTTCAAAGGCTACCGTCACTGATACCCAAAGCCCACACCTGTGCTAGTCGGCTAGCCCTGTTGAAAACATCATCACAGAGTTCCTGCGTCAAAGGCGGACTAAACATGTGAGCCTCTTTGATGTCGCGCCATTTGTGGTTTGAGGGTGGAATGGAGGAGCACACAATATGGCAAGAGAGAGAAGGTAGACTAAGGTGAACTCAATGATTATAGGCTTTCTGTAAGAACAGCAACATTTGAAAACGTACCATGGTTTCTATAAAAAATATCAAGCAGCATGACTGTTTTCAACATTGATAATAACCAGAAATGTGTCTTGAGCAGCAAATCAGCATATTAAAGGACTCCAGACTGCAATTAAAACGGTAGCATTTGTGACCAAAAATATTAATTTGCGAGTAATATTTTTGCTGAGATCGCCACTGGCGACTATATAAATTGACATGTTATGACTTAAGGGGTCATATGATACGATTTCAATTTTTCCTTTCTCTTTGGAGTGTTACAAGCTCTTATTGCATAAAGAAGATCTGTAAAGTTGCAAAGACTAAAGTCTCAAATCCAAAGAGATATTCTTTATAAAAGTTAAGAGTCAACACAAGTAGCGACGCTACTAGCTTAACTACATTTTTCAGTAGCTTTACAGTATGCTTTACAAATGCTACATTCCGTTTTGCGTTCTGACGAGTCACGAGCTTGTAATGCATTGAAGCAGCACAGAATCTTCTTCTGACTAGATCACAAACCAAATATGTTCATTACCGCCATCTGTTGTGATATCACGCATCGCGCGGCTTTACAGTCTTTCGCTTTGTCATGCCTAGAGCTGATCCGTGCTGGTCACTGAGGAAATACATCAACTTCGCGCTGTGGATCACCGGATCGGATTTCACTGTGGACGAAGCGGCGTCCAGCCCAGGGACGTTGAGACGATGCGCATCAATGTTTTAGTGGAAAAAAAACTTTCAAACAGTCCTCATCTCTGCCGAACACCTGCTAAAAGCAGCTCCAGTTGTGGCAGCATGAGAGAGAGAGAAAATGATGGAGACGTGCGAAGCAAAAATGCAGAAAAACAGGGTCTGTTCCGTGCACAACCTGAACAAACTACAACAGGTAAAGCTGTCAGCTGTGTGGACATTAACAATATATCTTTAACCATTCTCATTTATAATCTTTAGTCTATATGCTGTGTTCTGTTAATGCGTGAGCTTCATATTATTTGTAGCGCACTTGCAGTCCAATAATCATAATAATTTTGTGCACGGTTACCTTTTAATAAACATTTTGCTAAATATCTGCACTATATTGCATATTCATATTTTTTTTCTTAACCTGTTGCCTACATGACAAGAAAGAGTGCAAGGAGCTAAACATAAGTCAAAATCTCCTATATAATTGCATGTTACTAATGAAGAAAAACAGACTGGATGTGTGCAAGACATATGATGACATTTATGGGATGCATTGAGGAGGAGCCCAAACTACACTCAAGGGCCAAGTGATGCTGACATAATTATGGTATGTGATATCGGCACAGATTCTGTGTTACAAACAATTCTTTGTGACTGAGTATAATTCTCAAGTTGGAAAAGAGGGTTAATTCCCATTTTAAGTGAACTTTAGTTCCCAGGACATCTACAAGATGGATTAAAATGCTGATAAAGACAAGAAAAGATGAGACATAAACACATGGCAGTATAACTAAATGTTAAAGGTGGGGTAAGCGATTTTTCAAAAACGCTTTAGAAAACTGATTCGGGGCGACTAGCAAAGCAAACTTGTAGCCAATCAGCAGTAAGGGGCGTGTCTTATCATGATGTGGAGGAG